TTTTTATTTGATGGGTGGGTTGGTCTGGATCTCAAGGTACCTTGTTTATATTTTGCACAGGTGTTTAAGTGGATTGTGATGCAAGTAAGTGTGTGTGTGTGTATTGACATTTTCCTCTGGAATGGAGTGTGCATTCTCTGCTCAGAGTGATGCACTTTGCTTACCATATTCTGGACAGTATTGGGAAAATTTGGGCATGACTTGGGGAACCCCAATGTGTGCCTCAGGGGCACTGCTGGAGTTCAAACAGCTAAAATCGGGTAGCTTCAAATGAGACACTGTCGTGTCTGTGCCAGTTAATATGAGATTGCAAGGAAGGCAATTCTTGTGCATGCCTAGTACTCATAGAGGAGGAAGGAAAATAGCAGAACAATCAGCCGTTCATTTCTAGTTCCAGATTTCTTGAGATTGTTTCCTTAAAAGGATGCCTCCAAAGCACAGTCGTCCATAAGTTTATGCTTGAGTGCTTTCCGTGTGTGACCGATAGGATTATAATCAGGCGTTTGTGTCAAACATATATCCAGTCAAAGACTCCCAACAAGAGGACAAGCAACAAAAACAACCACAGCAAATTGCATTTGTTTAGCTCCTTTCACGTCAGGAGGACGTCCCGAGGTCCTGGAAATCTCGTACTTACGTTTAGAGTTGGATGGAGAAATTTCAGGAAGTTTTTCTTTAACCAGAAAGTAAATGACAACTGGAATAGGTTACCAGGATGAGTGGTTGAGACCAGGACATTGGACTCATTTTAAATTAAACACAGCTTGATACTATGATGGGAAATCAGTTGGGTGGATATTCTGCAAAATTTGATCATATGAGCCAAAGGGTCTTCATGATCCAAGCTAATCTTGTGATTTTATGATGCGGTGAAGATATTTTCCCCAGCTGATGTTTGTACTTTGAATAATTCAGTCTGTCCATTGTACAGGTACCTGTTCATCCTTCAGATTTTCCGCTTATGAATATTTCATGAAAATAACTTGTTGGCTTTTCTTTGAAAGACGGACACCACATACAATTGAATTGTGGTGCTCTTGTGTTCGCTCAGGAGGAATGGCGACATTCAGTTTGTTTTGCTTCAACATCAGGGTGTCAGCCTGACTCAATTGTTAGCACTATGAGTCAGAAGATTGTGGGTTCAAAGCCACATCTATGTTGATACTGCAGTGAGATGCTTTCTTCTCTTTAACATCCTCCTGAACTGGCAGAGGGGACAGAGAGTCAGCCTAGGGTATCCAAATGCGAGACACTGGGTTTATGGTTTTTGACAGCTATTAAGAAGAACCAGCTTCCAAAATAAAACCGAATATAAGAATTTTTCATAATTCCACGCAATCTTAAATTTTAAGTCAAAATTATCTCGGGGGCTAAAACGAGGTGGAATTTCAGCCATCAGATGAGGTCACAGGATTGTGTGGAATGACCCCTTCCCCCTTCTTGGGGTGTTTTACAGTTGCACTTTCAAAGGTTGTTTAAGTGAAATTTGGGGATCGTTCGATGGTTTAAGCTTGCAGTGACTGCCATCCCCGCATATGTTGTCTTCTATTCACTGTTTAAAGGTTGCTCCGTGGTAGAATATTATCTGGAACAAGTTGAATTATTATTTTAGACTGTTTTCATACTCAAACCCTAAATTCTCAATGCCTTGCAATCTCCCTCCCTGCCTTCACGCACCTTGGGATGTCCTCCCGATGTGTAAGGCGCTATACAAATGTATTTTGTTGTTGTTGCTTGTTAAAAAAACTTATCTCTTCGACTGCACTTTTGGTCACCTCTCTTCTTACCACTGACACCATCTTCTGTGAAGGACTTTGATAAATTTTCTTATATGAAAGGCGTTACTATTGCTATCAGTACTATCAATCCTTGCATTTGATATAGCGCCTTATCGTGTTGTTGTGATGCCTCAAAGCGCTTCGCAGAATATATTGTAAGTTGAACAATAAAACCAAAATAAAATGCAGGGATAAATTTCACGGTGCCGATGGTGTGTGGAGCTATCCAGCAAAGCCACGTCGAGCGAAGTGTTACCTTTCACCATCGTCCACGAAATCGACAGCGTTTTCACATTGCACCAGAAATGAGTTTCGTCTGCTCACAATGCCAGACCGCAGTGTGGATCTGAGCTCAATGGAGCGGTTTGTCACCCAAAGGCTCGACAGATTGTGTTTGTTTTCCACATTTGTGTCGTGGGTGTAAGAAGAAGATGGGATTCAGCTAAAGTCACTCAGCTCAGGAAGTTCCCCTGTCGATGTGGGCAGATTTTTTTGCTGTTCCCACCTGTGCTGGAATAAAGCCCATCTTCCTCTCTCTGTGCCCTGTTGAATCTGGAAATCTGATGGTATTTCCAGCCTTCCGCTCTGCAGTCTTTCCTGGCTCGGAGTGGAGTCTGTTACCTCCGTGAGCATCTGCTTCAAACGCTGCCTGCTGAATCGCTCTCTATCCAGTTCTAAAAAAAGGGCTTCAGTTAATTTGCCTCCTTTCACTCTCCAGGCGCACTGTAATATGACATCTCATTCCCTTTTTTTTACTGGCAGCAATTCTCACTCTTGAGTATGCATTAGCCTTGATGGCAATTGTTTTTACTTAGCTGTAGCTGAGTTCAATTCTGTCCTCACCACACAAACTGAGACGCACAGAGGCAGACACACAGAGGCAGACACACACACACACACACACATAAACAAACACTGTTCAGTAGGGTGGACTCTGAATGGAGATCGGAGGCTAAGATGCAACATCTTATTATTATTATTATCTCATCCTAAAAATCATCATCTTCAATTTTGAAATTGTGGAGGATTTTCTCCATTTCTCTATTGCTCTTTGTCAGTGTGAAATAAAAAGGGAAGGGTAACAATGATAAGAATCCTTGCATTTGGTAGAGTGTCTTTCACATTGTTGAAGTACTGCACAGCGCTTTACTGTCCAGTGTAATGACTGTGTGTTTTGAAGGCGGATGTGAACATGCAACATGGATTCTGAGCTGGTTAAGTCCAAGCAAGGAAAGTCTGTATGTAGTTCCTTTTAATAAAAAAAAATCATTCAGCAAACAAAAGATACTTAACTACAAAGGATTCGGCAAACACTGAGAGATTATAATGCTAGATTTGAGAGGTTGATTTGACTCCCGCAGAACACGAGCAAAATACCAACCCATCCATAGCAGTGATATCACATGCAGCAACACTGAACATCTCACAAATTGATGCATGTCATCTGCCAAATTTAACACAGGCTGACCAATTTCCTTGACGTACAGTACAATATTTCCTGAAGTGAACAAACTGAATGTGATAAGTGAGAGAGAGAGAGATCGTGTCCTTTTATTGAAGTTTATTTGGAGTGCTCGTGGCTGGAGTGGCTGAATCCGAGTCAACTGAACCCTGAAGCTTGGATTACGACCCGTAGGTTTCACCTGACCTGACCCCCCACCACCACCCCCAGCCCCCTTCACAGTCAGAGGCAAGACGCTCCATTCTCCTTCACTCTCTCTCATCTCCTCCGCGTGTTACATTCAATCGCTGGCTTTTGGGGCCATCACTCGTAAGGACCATGTCAATAATTCCGTTAAATTGGCCTTGAATGCCCATTGGCTGACCCTGAGCGATTCTCGAACCCATTCCCTGTTAAAACATCTTTTTTTAAATATCCCATTAACTCCCAATTGTCTTATAAAAAGTAAATTTAGGAGATTGCAATCTGTAGGCTAAGTAGGGCAGAGAGATTTTGTGGTTACAGATAGAATGTAAACACACTGATGTCTGCAGGTTAAAGTCATTTAGTGATTATATTGACAACAGATAACTAAAATAGTGATATTTAACTGGTGGTTCAACCTCAGAACTTGCAGAGAAAATATGCGAGCAAACTACTTGCAAGTACACGACTGGTAATAATCCGTCAAGAAAAAAAATTGGTCACTTCAATCCACGACTGTTTGTGGGACTCTGCTGTGCGCAATTGGTTGCCGCATTTTGCCCACAAATATACAGTCAATTTTACAGTCTATTCTGTGAAGCGCTTTGAGACGTCTTGAAAAGCGTTATATCAAATGCAAGGATTATTATTATTATAAGTAGATGTTTGTGTCTGTGAAAGTCAAATGACAAAAACAGTAATAATAATAGATTAGATATTAAATAATCCTTGCATTTCATACAGTGCCTTTCATATCAGGAGAATGTCTTAAAGTGTTTCACAGAATATACTGTAAGTGTTTTCTTTAAATACAGTCAAGTGTGATCCTCTATGCGATTGTGCATCAGAGATGTGTGAAAAATGCAGTCAGGTCCTTATTCACAATTGTTTCTGCCTTTCTGCGAAATTAAAGCTGCAAAATGTGTAGAATGTGTATGTACCGTTAAATAAAATAAAAACAATAATAAAAATAATCAAAAAATATAAGGACAGGAATGGGTTATAGGGACAGTGGTTGAGGCCAGGCCACTTGATTCCTTCTTACAAAAAAATCTTGATTCTGTGATGTTAGAATGATCGGGTGGATGTTCTCGAAAGATAACAATCTTTGCATTTGATATAGCGTCTTATCACATCATTGAAACGTCTCAAAACGCTTCACAGAATATACTGTAAAGTGAATTGACTGTGTATTCTGTGGGCGAAAAGGTGAGGTGAAAGGGCCCAAAAGGCCTTCTTCTTAATCCAAACTAATCTTATCAACATACAGTTTTGCTGCGATAAACACAAAGGTGAGATATTAAAGATATCTAACGACTGTGGATATGACCTGAGCAGAAGGTATGCCCTCTGGTGAGCAGGGAAGGCGATGGATGGGCATAAAGTCTTTGGCTGTTTTGAATTGGCCTCATTGGCAGTTATTTTGCATGGAATTGCTATGATCTTCTTTTATCCAGACCCATAGCGATCAGTGGAAGATTGTGCGTTTCAGTGTGTGTGTGCAAGGTCACGAGTGCTGTAAACTAGGACATTTTGCATTATGCACATCTCCTTGATCACCTCCATTTCTTTCCTAGATTGATTTGGAGCCTGAGGGCAAGATTTACATCATGGTCGAAATGAAGGACGTTTCTTGTGAAGGTAAGATCCTGGTTTGGGTCTTGGTAAACAAGACCCTATTTAGCACAGTTCCACTTTTTAACTGCGTGAAATGATACATATCTAATTTGCAGCCACAACAAACAAAANCTTGCATTTTTTAAAGCGCTCTGTGATGCTACCCTGAATGAGGGGCGGACGTGAGGGTGGAAAAGGCAGGGAAATGGGAGTGAATGGATTGCTCTTTCAGCGAGCCAGCAAAGACATGATGCACTGAAGGTGCATCAGTGCTGGGAATTTCAAGGAGCTAATTAACTGTGTGCCTATCACTGTTACTTAACGGTACCCGATTCACTTGATTGTCATGAAGTGTTTTCATTTGTCACCGGGCCTTGGTTTGTGCAAGCGTCTTCACTGATGTGTTGCAGCTTTGCTTTTTGTTTGTAGAAGTTAACACTACTTTCTTGCATGTGTTGGGCTGGGTGTGAGGCGAGTGGCAAGAATGTACGCGACTTGCTTTACACTTGAAGTTCTGATCGAAGAACATGTACAGAAGCCTGAGTTTCTATTTCCTGTAAGAGAACCCACTTTTCAGATAATAAATAGCACGTTTGCTGTGCATCCAATGACTACACTGCAATTTAATACATGTCATTTGCAAAGGCATTGCACTGCTGATCATTCTCTCTTTTGGATGCAAATGTTATTTCTGAAATCTTCTACTGGGGGAAAAAATTCTTGTGAAGAACTTCAACAGCCAAAAGTCACTCGTGAAATGAAACGCTTATTCAAAAGTCCCTCAAAGAGTTACCTATATTTTGGGCTGCATTCTGCTGATTTCACGTCTCCTCCACTGGAAAGCAGCTCTACTTGTTGTTGTGGCTACTGAGCCTTGCATGGGGACAGAAAATTGCACAGGACATTAACATTTTGGAGTCTGTCACATGCTGTAGGTGTGTGACAGCTCTGGTAATATTGTAATCCTTTAAAGTTAGCGAATAACAAGAATTTTATAGGCATCCAGCTAGTTTCGGTAGTTCTAAATCCGTGTTAATGAGAAAACTTTTTTTNGCATCGAATTCTCTACACAAGACTTGAATTTGCTCTTGATTTACCAAAAGCTATTTTGTGTGAAATTGTCAGGAACCCAAATCAAGTATGAAAGTTTTAACTCAGGCACTGCTGCTCAAACCACCACTCGAATCTGATGCAACTTAAGTGCATGTAGCCGGTTAAAAACCACAACCTCACTGAAGCTTAGTGTAAAACTAGGGGTGACCTGCAAATGTCTCTTACGCCTACCCTGCGTGTATGTATGTGTGCGTCTCTCTCTCTCTCTCTCTCTCTCATTCTCTTTCTGTCTCAACCCACTCTTTCCTCCTCCCCTTCCCCCCACCTCCCCCACATCACACCACCACCATATGATGTGGATCACATTTGCTAAATAACACAAGTTTACAGCCAGCTCTTGAAGCTTTTGAGAAAATGTCAACTTGTTTTTTTGTTAAACGAGGTGCAATCAAAGTGGATTTAAAATAAACAACAAACGGGCATTTATTTAGCGCCTTTCAAAGATCTCGAGGTTTCAAGTACAATACAAAATTACATTTGCGAAGCGCTTTTCGCGTTGGGAGGACGTCCCGAGGAGCTGGATAGTCAGGGATTTGGACCCGAGCTGGGGGTCCGGATTGGGGAAGGGTGGAGGGCAGGGAGGGTAAGAGGGTGGCCCAAAGCTTGGTCGAAGAGGAGGGTTTTGAATGTCACGTCTCGCTCCGCATTTCGGCATTAATTGACCTCTTTCTCACACTGAACAGGAGGCAGTATTTAACACTTCACTTCAGAAGGTGTTGATGATAACTCAGACCCACAGAGGGAACGAGCCTGGTTTCTTCCGTTTGCAATTGGCACAGCTTATAGTTCACAAATAAATATGTCACACCCAGAGAACAGTTTAGCTTCAACTAGTGATGGACACTGAGATCTCTGTGGTTTATCATTCACAGTGGGACGCAGCACTGTCTAAGATTAGTGTAGCTTATCTTCCAGAGAGAGAGACACACACACAATGACATCTCAACGAGCGAATGGAGATGCAAGATAGGATTCAGTCCACATTCCAGCAGGAGCTTTTCTGAGTTGCTGAGTTTGAGAATGTGAGCCTCATTCTCAATGTAGTCAGTCGATAAATTACCGACAGTGGCAACAGATATGCTCTTGTTTGCTTCTTTTCAAAGATCTTGGCTGTGCGATGGCCAGACTGGGAGAGATGACTCCTTTAAATCCCATAGCAACACAAGCACTTTACCGTCTAAATGGCCTCAATGCTCTCTTGATGGTCTTCAGAGACGATGGTCTGCTGCCACATGGTGGCAGGACAAGCACATTGACTGGATCAGTACACGCAGTGTTAGTACTACTTCTGCATTTTAACGCTAAGTCTTGTCCCAGACAGTCATGCACACACGACGGTAGTCAGCAGCTCTCATTCATTTCTTTTCCACAGCTATTTGTTCTATTGTCTCAGCTATTCTCTTATAACTTTAATAAATGCTTATTGCAGGGTAAAATTAAAGAGGAACTGTGTTTATTTATAGATCGACAGAGAGAGTGTCGTTGTGTCATGTCACTTGCAACTGACCCCATGACCTGTTTTGGTGACTTAAGTCTAAGCACGAGTTTGCCTAATGCTTTTTCTTGAAAAGCTTTAAAGTCTCTGCAGTGACTCATCCTTAACATGGTTTTAAGAGGTTGTGGGACAAAGAATAATAATAATCCTTGCATTTGATACAGAGCCTTACCATGTCTTCGAGACGTCTCAAAGAGCTTCACAGAATATACTGTAAAATGAATTGATTGTATATTTTGTGGGAGAATAAAGGACCTCAAATGTTCTTAAACTTTATTGAAGGGAATATTCAACCCCTGACTATCTTTGTGTTGTGCTCTATGACCCTGCTCCCCCCAAATGGGGAAAAGGCAGGGAAGTAGGATTTACATTAAAAAAATTGCTATAATCTAATAAAAAGCCGGTGGAAAATCAGTTGCATATTTTCAGATGTCCCTTATAGCACTCGCTGCATTGTGTCTTGCAAATTCATCTCATAGATCCAGACGTGCAATTGGTGAACGGTTCAAATGGGAGAGCATTTAAGGAGCGGATGTTTTCCAGAAAACGCCAGGGGGCAATGAGGAGGAAGGTTCACGAGGTCAACAACCATAAATTCATGGCCACCTACCTGAAACAGCCTACATACTGTTCCCACTGCAAGGAATTCATATGGTAATAATAATAATATTAAGCCTTACATTTCATATCGCGCCTTTCAAGTTGGGCGGACTTTATAAAAGCACCTAATTGTAAAGTGTACTGACTGTTTTTTTTGCAGACGAATGACTCTGTTAATTTGCACACGGCAAATTCCCCCAAACAGTGAATGACAAAATTTCTCTGGGCAATTGTTGGTGGGGACAGACACCGGGAGAGAGAAACTCTTCTATTTAAATATAACATCCACCTCAACAGGGTTGGTTTAACGTTTCATATGATGGCACCTTCGAGAATGTAGTATAAGCCCCATTCCAACCTGACCCCCTCCCCCTGCCCCCCCCAACCCACACCCCATACACACCATGGCATTGGAGTGTCGGCTTAGACTATGACTTCAGAGTCTCAAGACAGGGCCTGAAACCACAACCTTCTGACCCTGAGCCAAGCTGACACCCTTTAGTGCTCCCATACATACGTGGTTTACTGCGTAAGATGATTGCTCCTGCATATTTTACATCTGAGAGAAATAGTTTTAACAATAGTTTAACATATTACTTTGACAGGATGAAGTATTTTTCACATATAATATTAATTGTGAACACTGAAAATGCTGTTTTCTCAGCCTTACGGGGCTGGTTTCCTGGGCAGTGGATTATGTTTGGCAAAAAGAAATCTACCTTATGTTCTTGAAAAGATAAATAATACTGTTACCATCTCACGGCTCTTGTTTCTTTTACAGGGGAGTCTTTGGGAAGCAAGGATACCAGTGTCAAGGTAATCCTTCCATTTGATCAAATAGGATTGATGGGAATGATTGAGTTTGAACAACTAAAATCCTGAAATCAACTCCCAACCCAACACCAGTTCAGAACCTCAGAAGCAAACCGTTATAGGTGAAGTCCTGTTCACACAGGACAACTCAGTGGAGAACACAATACAGAGATAACAGTAGAGGTCAGCACACACTTCCTCTCGGAGACCCAGATTTGAATCCAGTCCATAGTGTTGGACTAATGGTCTCCATTTGTCTCCCAACTCTTAGTTGAAATCCGACATAAAATCAGTTTGGGGGCATTTCATCAACTTGTATGCTAGTCAGATCAGCAGTGCAAAACAACATCAACAACAAAATTGCATTTATAGAGCGCCTTTCACATCGGGAGGACGTCCCAAAACTACCAAGATACAGACACAAAGTTGGTATACAGTAGAGGTGAAGGTAGCTGATGTTGACCTTCACACGGGAGCAATTCTTAGTGTTCTAAGGTTGGGGTGTATTGGTGAGGCAATGTAAAGGGAGTTACACTGCATCAGGCTGTGTAGTACTTGGTCTGGGAGTGACCAGCGCTGATCTTTAACTTTGCTCTGGACATAAATCGTATTCCCCTGGTGTAACTATGGCATAGATCCACTTATTGGTGGGAATTGGTGGGACGTCCTCCTGACGTGAAAGGCGCTTTATAAATGGAATCTTGTTGTTGTTGTGGAATCCCAATTTGCAAGATTTCTTGATTTCCATTCCTGCAGATCAGATACTAAACATTGCAGATTAGACACAGCCATGTTTGCCAAACTGCCAAGATACACCGCTAAAACCAAAGACTATTGGCATGTACAAATCTTGTTGTTCTAGTTTTCTTTAGCAGACTTGTGATTGGGCCTCGGGTGTAACCGCTTGGTGCTGCTAACCTGTTCTCTCGTTCCGCAGTGTGTACGTGTGTGGTGCACAAACGTTGTCACCAGTTAATTGTCACAGCCTGTCCTCGGATAAAGAAACAGAAGAAAGAGGAGGTAGGAGCATGGTTCTGAAAGCCTGGGTTGCTTTAGGAAATGATGCAGCTCCAGTGGTGTGAATGTACATGAAACATGTTGTGTTGTAAAAATGATCTGTTGTAGTGTGGTTTATGAATATAGTAATAACAATAATAATCCTTGCACTTTTTAAAAATGTGTTTGGGGGGGGAATGATTGGCATGTGTATGTGAGGAGTGATGGTGCGTAGGTGTTTAATATGAGAAGTGTGTGCGTGTAAACTATGTGGATGGGTAAGTCCTCAACGACATCTATATACAGTACATGTCATGTGTATGTAGGAGGGTGATGTGTATGTGCATGTGTGTGTATGTTTGTGGTGTGGGTAATGTGTAACAACATGTGTGTGTGAGGAAGGGAGGGAGGGGTAATAGTATGTGTTCAAATGTGGGGGCTAGGGGAGGGTGCAATGGATGACATTATATGTTCAGTGGTGACTGATAGCTGGTGTGTGACCATATAAGATTGCACTGCAGGAGCCATAGTGAGAGAGATCTAGTTAGATGTGTCTTTAACGATGTTTCTCGGTTACGTGGGGGAGGGAGTTTTGACGTCCTTAATTTTGACAAGAAAATATTGAAGCAGGAATCAGCCCAGCCTGGGGGTGATTGTCTGCTTTACCTGGAGATTGTCCTTTGCAGGCGTGTGAGCAACGATTCAGCATCAACGTTCATCACCAGTTCTGCATCCGTAACTACAAAATGCTCACGTTCTGCGACCACTGTGGTTCTCTGCTGTATGGACTGTTGAAGCAAGGAAAGCAGTGTAAAGGTAACCTGCGCCATCCTTTAACTTGCAGCACAAATCCTCATAATCCTTGCGTTTGATACAGCGCCTTATCACATCGATGAGACGTCTCAAAGCATTTCGGAGGATATACTGCAAAGTGGATTGACTGCAAATTTTATGGACGAAACGCAGCAGTCAATTGCGCACGGCAGTGTCCCACAAACAGTCGGGAATTAAATGACCAATTTAAAAAATAATTTTTTTGAGAGAGATTATTACTCCCAGAAAGCGATCCAGCAATCGACTAACACCTGGGTTCCTATTTACTGTTAGGTAAGCAGAGGCATATGGAGTAAGGAAACTTGCCTAAGGGTTCTCCCCGCCCAGTAATCAAGCCCGTGTCCTCTTGCTCAAACTATAGGACTCCATGGTTAGACTCCAGCAGTTACCCCAACGCACACTCTGTGTAATGAATAAAATAAACATAAGAACATAAGAATTAGGAGCAGGAGTAGGCCATTCGGCCCCTCGAGCCTGTGCCCCACCATTCAATAAGATCATGGCTGATCTTCAGACCTAACTCTAATTACCTGCCCTATCCCCATATCCCCTAAACCCTCTATTTTTTAAAAATCTATCAGTCTCAGCCTTGAAGATGTTCAAGGACTGACATCTACAGCCTTCTGGGGTAGTGAATTCCATAAATTCACTACCCTTTGAGTGAAGAAATGTTTCCTCAACTCTGTTCTAAAAGACTGACCCTTAATTTTAAGACCATGACCCCTGGTTATAGATTCTCCTCCTGGGGAAACAGACCCTCAGTGTCTACTTTATCAGCCCTTTAAGAATCTTATATGTTTCAATAAGATCTCTCCTAATTCTTCTGTACTCCAGAGAATACAGCCCTAGTTTATTCAGCCTATCCTCATAGGTCAGTCCCCTCATCCCAGGAACTAACTGAGTGAATATATGCTGCACCCCCTCGAGGGCAAGTATGTCCTTTATTAAATAAGGAAACCAAAACTGCACACAATACTCTCGGTGCGGTCTCACCAGGGCCCTATACAGTTGCAGCAAGCCTTCCCTACTCTTGTACTCTAAACCTTTTGCAATGAACGCTAACATGCTTCTTAGTTGCTGCTGCACCAGCAAACTAACGTTTTGAGACTGGTGTACAAGGACACCCAAATCCCTCTGAACACTAACACTATCTAATCTTTCCCCCTCTAGAAAATAATCTGTTTTTCTATTTTTTCTACCTAGGTGAATAACTTCACACTTCCCCACATTAAATTCCATCTGCCACCTACTCGCCCACTCCCCTCACCTATCTATATCCCAATCTTTTTGCATCATCCTCAGAGCTTACTCTCCCACCTAGTTTAGTGTCATCCGCAAATTTAGATACGTTACATTCAATGTCCTCGTCGAGATCATTGATGTAAATTGTAAATAGCTGAGGCCCAAGATAATAAAATGAGAAAGGGTGTGGGTCACTCATGAGAGCTTCTGTTATTTCCTGTGTACCTATTAAAGCTGGTTCCAAGGAGGGGGTGTTGCGTTATATGTGAATTCCTCGGAGTACGTTAGTTATTCCTTTCACTGTGAAAGTGCTGAAAATTGCGCATGGTGAGGATGGGTTGCTGGGAAGCCCACCGTGCAGAATGATTCACTTTTCTAATATTAGATAAATATCACGCTCGCATTTGATTCAGCGACTTATCACGTCTTCGAGACGTCTCAAAGAGCTTCACAGAACCTACTGTAAAGTGAATTGACCGTATATTTTGTGAGCGAAAAAAAACAGCAGTGTCCAACAATCAGCTGTGGATTGAGTGACCAATATATATATATATATATATATTTTAAGGGATTATTACCCCCGGAAAAGCGATCCCTTTTCTCATTGTGTGGTGTTGTGTTGTCCGCAGTTTGTAAGATGAACATTCACATCCGGTGCGAGAACAACGTGGCCCCAAACTGCGGGGTCAACTCAGTGGAACTGGCCGCGAGGCTGGCCGAGATGGGGCTCAGCGCTGGCGGCATTTCCACCTTGAAACGAAAAGCCAAGGTAAGGACCTGCTGCTGCACAGGGCAGAGCAACTTCATTTCTGTCACAGTAACCTTAATGATTTATTTCGCTCTCAAAATACAGTCACTCCGCTTGACAGTATATCCTGTGAAGCGCTTTGAGACAACACCACCACCACCCACTTGCATTTATATATCGCCCCTAATGCATGGCAGGGTCCCTGACGTCTCAACCACGTGATAAGGCGAGGCCACTGGAGAATTGTAGAAATCTACAGCACAGAAGGAGGCCATTCAGCCCATTGTGTCTGCACTGGCTCTTTTAATAATAACATAATGATAATCCTTGCATTTGATATAGCACTTTTCACGTCTTCTAGGCATCTCCAAGCGCTTGACAGAATAGACTGTAAAGTGAATTGACTGTATATTTGTGAGCGAATCGCGGCAGCCAATTGCGCACAGTAACGTCTCACAAACAGTCGTGGAATGAAAATGACCAATTTATTATTGTTTTGTTTTGGAGGGATCATTATTAGGCTCTGTGTGGAGTAAGGAAAGTTGCTCAAGGTTTCGCCCTCTGCCTGGAATTGAACTCAGGTGTCTCGCTTGCAAGGCGAGCGCTCTAACCACTGAGCTACAGGACTCCTTTTAAGGGCAATCATTTCAGTCCCATTTATCTGCTTGTTTCCCCCTCCGCCCGCGCCCCCCTCCCCCATCCCTGTAGTTTATTCCTTTTTAGTTATTTATCTATTTCCCTTTAGAAAGTTTATGTGGATAAATATTTTTCCTAACTTCCCCTTTTGTTTGCTAAATATCTTAAATTGATGTCCTCTGTAGTCACTGACTCACCCACCAGTGGAAATAATTTCTCCATATTGACACTCGTCAAAACCCCTTGTGAGCCAACTGTTTATACCTAGTTTACCTGCTTAATCCACACACTGGGGAGAGAGCCGATGCAGTGTATCCTTGAACAGACCAAGGAGGTTCAACCATGCTCTTATCAATGTGAATCTCTAACCAGATGCAGCACATTTTATTACATGTGATACGTCTTTGCTTTTGCTGCCACCTCCCTCCCCCCCCAACCCTCTGTACACCCACACACCCATTCACAGCAACCCCTCACCCACTCCCGCCCCCCCCCCCCACCACCCACCCCACACACACATCTGATCAATTGCTTCCTTTTAGCAAAGCAAAACCAACTTTTTTTGTAGTAGTTTTCACCCGTTTGTGTGGCAATATCCCCGCCAATGTTTACATGTTAAACGTTTTCCTACGGTTTGCTCGTGGTGAAGAGCAACACAATGGGACGTAGGGTTTTGTGTTCTAAACCAGCCCGCACCCCCAACCTAGCCACTCGCTCTCTCTTACTCTCATCTCACCCTTGCAGAATACCCACCCTATGGTTTGTCCATTACATCAAGCCTCGGGTTTCTAATTGAGCCAAATTGTGTCGTGTTAATTACCGCTCTGTAAAGCAATGGTGTCTAATTACCTTACGGGCGACAGTAACAGTTTCCACGTCTTATTCCTCGAAAAAGAGTCTGAGCCAGAAGCTTCAGGAGGAGAGCCCGCCACCCATCGAGCAAGGAGGGAGCAGTGAGGAACAGCAACGGGTACAGTGCAAGCTGGGCATCGATGATTTCACCTTCATCAGTGTGCTGGGGAAAGGCAGTTTTGGAAAGGTAAGACTCCCAGTTACGCTCTGGCAAAACACCGAGCAGCCCTGGTTACGTCTATGTGTAATGTCCCAGGCTGAGGGAATCCCAGGACTGTCATAGAACCAGATCCAAATCAAGGGTGTGTTAGTAGCTTCTTTATTTGTCAGTCCAAACTCTCAATAATCCACCACTCTAAACCACACACTCTGCCCCACTCTCAGTGTCCATCTGTACTCCCTGCGCTTCTTCTTAATGTCCCTTTTGTTAATTGTCAATCAAAGGAGTATCCGACAAGGATGAGGTTCTACCTCCCGGCCTGGCTCAGCATCTAACTGCCAGCCAGCTTCTCATTCTCTTTCAATCGCTGTCCTAAGCCGTGGAGAAACTCAGTAGTCGAACCACAAGCGCAGGTTGGACCTGAGTTTCTGTTGGGAGAGGGAGTAGGGAGTTTTTATCCAAATCTGGAATTGGCCCACCTGCCACTTCCCTGTTCCCTGCAGGTGATGCTGGCTGAACGGAAAGGCATGGAAGAGGTGTACGCGGTGAAGATATTGAAGAAGGACATGATTCTCCAGGACGATGACGTAGAGTGCACGATGACCGAAAAACGCATCCTATCCCTGGCCAGGAACCACCCGTACCTCACACAGCTCTTCTGCTGCTTCCAGACTCCGGTACGTCAGTGATTCCTACTCTGACCACACGCCAGAGGAACTTTCATCTCCACAATAATAATCTTTGATTTATTTCGCTCTTCAAGTAATGTTCATAGTTGCCAACAGGTGGCACTGGTAACAGTGTGGAGGAGATGCAATCCCAAGTCAAAGGGACTTTTATAAAACTGTACTTTATAATTCAGAAGTTTATAAAGCACATGATTCCAGTGACTAAAACCTTGCCCCTTTCTTTCCCCCTTCCCCCTGCTTTATATTGATTATACAGCAGTTAAGGATAGCAAAAATGGACATTAAGAAAAGGATTCCATTAACTTGGCTCCTATCACAGCCATGCCAAACAAACTGTGTGACTGACTAACCACTCTATCTCCACGGATAATGTTCTATGTAGATCCTTCCTGCTCTCAAAGATAATTCAGAATATTCATCCATCTACAATACAGGAATTGGCATTTGTAGAGCTACCTGTTGAATATATACGTGTGTGTATATTAAGAATTGACCAGTATGTATACCTGATGTGTATCTATGTTTGTATAAACATAACCAATTTGTGTACCTGGTGTGTGCAAGCTCAGGAATACCACATTGCAAGTTACCAATGCATTGTGTTTTATGTTAAATTCTTCATACTCTAAGGGGATTTTCAGGCTGAGAGCCACAGAGCTGATGTGAGTGGAGGAGAGGGAGAACTTAAGATAAATTCTCCAAATGATGGAAGAGAAAGCGAGTGTGGAGAAGGTGATGTTAAAGTTGCGTAAATTAGATGATACAATACAATACAAAATTACATTTGTATAGTGCCTCACACGTCGGGAGGACGTCCCAAGGCATCTGACAGTCAAGCAGGGTGTTGGGATCAGGAAGCGTGGAAGAGGAGGGTGGTCGAAGGCACGGTCGAAGAGGAGGGTCTGGAGACGTGCCTAGAAGAAGGCAAGGGAGGGAACAAGGTGAAGGGATTGTGGGATGGAGTTCCAAATGGTGGGGGTAGAGAGGCTAAGGCTCAACCTTAAAAGTAAATATCTTAAAAGTAACTTTAGAAGGGTGTAACAAGGAGGAAATCATACTTGCTGGAAGCTGTGTCACAAAGAACATGTTTGCCAAGGAAGGCAATTGTCTGGAATATTGCACCATCTTTCCTAGACTGGGCAAGGCATGTGTATTTACACAGTATTGTCTCGTCATAGTCTCTTAGAGAATGACTAATTGGGATTTGGACTTTTATTCCAAAAGGAGCAGTTAAAATGCTACTGCCGATGTGGCAGTCTTATATTTTGCGCACCAAATTCCAAATGCTATTATTATGACTTCATCCTGTTCCCATGTTTATATTTTCCCTCCCACTCCTCTCCCAGCTCCTAGAGCACTGGCCCTGAGGTCACAGATCGACGGATGGGCTTCGAGTTAAAGGTCAGGGCCGTTGTAATTTTCAGTTCAACCACAACACAAACATCCCCTATAACATACTGCCAGGTTAAGCGCTCTGAGACTCTAACCTGCTTGGAGGGCGCTATATAAGTGCAAGTTGTTGTACCGGAGGATAAATGAATCTGATCATTATCTGTAGTGTGGGTCCAACCCATTAATAAACCTGGAGCTAAACCCCAGGGATCAGTGTCTGCTTTATCCTCTTCTGACTTAAGCCGTTCAGGGTTATGTAAACAGCTCCATAGCCCCTGCGCTGTGCAGGCCTGACCTTGATGTAGCAAGAGATTGAAATCAATGCTGATGGACAACAGTTATGGGGGCTACGTTGTGGTGTTCCTAAATACATACCGTTCCTTAGTAAGGTAACAGCAATAAAATATGTTTTTAAGCCTTCCCCCTCCCCATTTCTGATGGCTAAAAAGACCTAAACATCAACACTATCTTGGATTCACACAATTTTGAACGTTGGAAACTGCCTTGTTGAGATTTCCATGGTCACAATGACCTGAACTCAAGGTCATAATGATAATAATCATTTTGATACAGCACCTTATCAGGTGGTTGAGACGATTCAAAGCGCTTCACAGGATATACTGTATATTTTGTTAAGGAGACTTGTTATGGAGCCCCTCTGTCTGTGGGTCTGCCTGAGTGAACCTCCTCGAAACTGCAGTGTTCTGCTCTCTGTACTAAGCCGATTTCCACCATCGATTTGGGAAGCTGACACTAATGCATTGTAACAGCAACAAGGCAGGCTTTGACGAAAGGCTATTACACTAATGAACCGTCCAAGTGAATTACCTGAGCAGTGAACCAGAGTAAAACTGATCTGAAATTTATGTCCGTTCCAATTATAGTCAGGTGGAAACACCTCTGTTTGTCTTCTAAGTTGCCATTCAACTTTTGTGGATGCAGCCAATCGCAGCCCTGTTAATTTCATCTGCTCGGTGTTTTGGGTGGCAGTGCAGTGGGTAGCATTGATCAGAAGAGCAATCCTCTTGCTAACGGAGCTTGAACTCATTAGAACGCTGGGTAACTGGTGCAGAAACTACCCCAAAGGGATAATTGTTGAATCATTTGGTGAGGTTGTGAGAAAACGAATCTTTGAAAACGAAGAGGTCTACCTAATCAAAAGTGTAACTGACCACACAGGGCTCGTGTGTACTGGTTAGCTATTCATAGTAAGCCTTGCATTTGATATAGTGCTTTATCACGTCGTTGAGATGCCTCAAAGCTCTTCACCAGAATATATTGTCAAGTGGGATTGACTGTGTATTTTGTGGGAGAACGTGGCAGCCAATTTGCACACAGCCATGGAGTAAGTGACCAATTTTATTCAGGGGATTGTTGGCCAGGACACCCTTCTCTTTTCGAATAGCGCCATGGGATCTTTAATGTCCACCTGAACAGCCAGATGGGACCTCGGTTTAACCTCTCATCCGAAGGACAGCACCTCTGACAATGCAACACACCCCCATCAATACATTGGTGTGTCAGCTTAGACTATGTGATACCAAGTTCTGACGTAGGGCTTGAACCCACAGCCTTCTGACTCAGAGGCGAATGTCCCTGTTAATAATGTTGGCTGCAATATTTGGTTTAATTTTTCCAACTCATGACCATTCTTTATCAAATAATTGGACTTGATACGGTAAACAGGAAATGATGAATAGTGGCCTTGAAGTTTTTTTTATATACAGTCAGGATGTTTGCCACTGATAAGGTGGTGATAGCAATTGCTTGCTGTCTGAGCTTTCTTGACTATTTGCCCAAGTTTGGTGCAGATATTAGGAGAGCTGCTGTCAGCTAAGGAGCCTGAAATTCATGAGCTTTAACACAGCAGTCAGTCTGCTATTTACACTGCAGATGGACGCACCTGTCAAGTGTGGAGGTGGGCAAAGCAGGAGAAAGTGAACACAACTTGTATACATATAGCGCCTTTCCAGCAACAGTAAGGCACATGTCTCAAGACCCTCCTCTTCGATTGCGCCCTCTTCCACCCTCCTACTATCCCTGCCCTCCACCCTCTCTAATCCCAACGCCCCCCCTCCCCCTGCTCAGGTCCAAATCCCTGACTCTCCAGCACCTTGGGATATCCTCCCGACGTGAAAGGTTCTATACAAATATAATTTTGTATTGTGTTTTATGATTGATGTGTGAATGATCATATCATGGATCGCATGTTTCACTCTGAAAACGGATGGACTTCCAGCATTTTAAATTGCTTGTCTCTGGGGATCGGTTAATATTTCTACAGAGCTTGAAGGTGCCCAGGAGGATATTTAATTTGTGGAAGAGTGTTTTTTACAAAGTCCCATGGTTACTGTATTTCAGCCTAGCCCATTTGGAAGAAATACTAAAAGCAGTTCATCTGAGATTTCTTTGTTGCTTGTGACTTGGCAACCACTCGTAACCATTTGGCTTCTTACGAAATCCTTAGTTAGCTTCAAGACTCAAACATTTCCCCTCCTTAAGCAATCCTGTTTCAGCACCACATTTGGCCACTGATAGACCATTGTTTTAGAACTAGGCAATGATAATTGAACATGACAAAGTGGAGGATTTGTTCCTAGTCATCGAATTATTTTGCTGCTTAAACCATTGGAACCAATTTCCTTGTGGTTGCCAAATTAAACTTGCCCTTTGCAATCTTGATACCATTCCATGTGAACCTTTCAAACTAACATGTGTTGCAACTGTGGTCCTCAACCTCTCTGGTCACTAATAGCTTCCATTTACATCTCTGGCAAATTCTGAATACGTAGGAATGTACTGGACGGGGAAAGACCACTGCGGTCCAGCTTGGCTGGTTACAAAGCCAAATAACAAGATTGATCTTTGCGTGTTGCCTTTTGTAGGATCGGATGTTTTTCGTGATGGAGTATGTAAACGGTGGGGACCTGATGTTTCAGATTCAGCTGGTCCGGAAGTTTGATGAAATCCGTGCCCGTTTCTATGCTGCGGAGATTACATCAGCTCTCATCTTCCTGCACAGTAAGAAAGTCATATACAGGTGAGGAGAATTCCCTGCATTTGATGCTAAGTTATCATGCTTTTTTTGTGTGTGACCTTGACTTTGAGGTGCGCTGCGGAAGCTTGCCCTATCCTAGATCGCTACCGTTCCATGGTATCTTGCAGGTGTTGCAACTGTGGTTCTCAGTCTCTCCAAAAGCGTAAAGCCGATTCCAAGCGTTTCACAGGCCATATTAAAAATAATAATCATTGCATTTGATATAACGCCTTTCACGTTGGGAGGAAGTCTCAACGCGCTTCACATGGTTTACTGTAAAGTATAGAGATTATTTATTTTGTAGGTGAATGTGGCAGCCAATTTGCACGCAGCAATATCCTAGAAACAGCCATGACCAATTTATTCCAAGAGGCCGTTGTTGACCAGGACATCAGGAGGCACTCCTTTCCTTTATGCCTCACCTACCAGGCGAGATGTAGTTTTAGTGTCTCAACTGAAAGATTATTCCCATTCAGACCAGGTCGTCCTTTGAAACAAGCCAACATGACCCACATTAGTCACATCAATCTTTTACTCTCGTTCCACCATTCACCTCTGGAGCAGTTTCCAGATTAAGACTGAATTTAAGAATTCTGACGTGACGTTACATTGTAAAATGATGGTTTTAAGGCTCAAGAACACAAGGGATTTCGAGCCTCTGGAGTCTTCGTTGTGTATTTCCAGGAGGTATTGGGGGAGAGCAGTCCAGAGCAGAATCCCTAGCCAACTTCAGGACTGTATTATCCCTACTGATCTTGAGGCTTTAGAGGCGGCATGTACAGGGAATTCTGAGAAGCTCCAGAAGGTGACCTTTAATTGCTTCATGTCAATTGGAAGTGATTCAGCTGCAGATTTGCTTCACATAAATTTACATTTTAAAAGTTGCTGCCTACTTAAGCGAGTGACAACAAAAAAACTCTACATTTTGTAATGGTTTCCATGAATCCTAGCCCTGTAGCTTTCTTTTTAATATACACAATGCACATAATCTAATGTCCCTGAAGATTAGTAAATTGTTCCCAGTTTACTCCTATTTAACAGGCAGTGGTGGAGCATAGTATTCGTATTATTAGTCTGATTATTAAAGTAAACCCAGGTGGTAAAGTCAATCCTCCAATTAGATTCACTCTGTTGCCATTAATTATTGTGGTTGTTTCTTGCTCCACAGTCTGAATGCTTTGTACTCACTAATGGGTAAATTATACATTCGAGTGCATAGTTCCCACATAATGATCCAGTACCATAATAATAATAATAATAATAATAATCCTTGCATTTGATATAGCGCTTTTCACGTCGGGAGGACGTCCCAAAGCGCTTCACAGAATAGACTGTAAAGTGAATTGACTGTATATTTGTGGGCGAACGCGGCAGCCAATTGCGCACAGCAATGTCCCACAAACAGTCGTAGATTGAAAATGACCAATTTATTATTGTTTTTGGATTTTGGAGGGATTATTATTAGGCTCTGTGTGGAGTAAGGAAACTTGCCCAAGGTTTCGCCCTGTCTGGAATTGAACTCAGGTCTCTCACTTGCAAAGCGAGTGCTTTGCAAGTGGTATCTATCTTTCTTTGTAAAGACACTTTCTCTGATTGTCAAACGCTACCATTTGCCAAGAAAATAGGCAAGTAACCTTCTCCCAAACACCTGCGAACAGTGCTGTGAAGCTGGCAGCTGGGAAGCTTTTTTTTTAACATGATGAGTTTAAACAATTTTTTATTCACTGGTGCTTCAGTGAGTTCTTGCACTGTGCGCTGTGGTATTGAGCTATATAGACCATAAAGGTCTCTCTTTTGATTTTTGTTCTGTGCTTGCTGGTCTCACAACCTCTGTGGGTGCTGGGCTCCACCTCAATGTCTCAGGCTTGGAGAAGGGGAAACATAAGGATTCCCAATTCCTGATCATTGCCCAATGACCTCTTGCCAGTAGCACATTTGTGTGGAGATTGGGTGAGGATTGGTTTGAACAATCCCCAGAGAGTGGGAAAAAAATGATCATTCGCACTTCATGGCTGTTTGCGAGGCATTCCTGTGAGCAAATTGGCTGCTTCGTACACCCACAAAATATAACCACTACACTTTACAGCAAAACTCTGCGAAGCGGTTTCACATGTTTCGACGTGATAAAATGTTGTATCAAATGTAAGGATTATTCAGGGTTATTGTTACGGTGTTACCTCTGTCATGACATTGCCTGGATAGAAACACAGGCTATTGAGTACAAAGACTGAAAAGTGAATCTAGTGGCAGTTCATAAGCTAATTTTCCATTACCCCTGAGGTTTTCCTTCAGGATTTCACTTAGAAAGGCCAAATAGCCAAAGAAAGTCTATAACCATTTCTGCTTCAGTTTGTATATCAGAATCAGCTGTATCACTGCTTGCCATGGATGCATCATTTCACTTAGTGTTTCCACTATTCGCCATCGCAGAACTGCCAACACATGCAATATCACAGATTTAGAAAAGCCTTTTGAATTATAGATGTCGAGCTGCTCTATAGTTCACGAGAACTGAACAATTGGCTGCCTCACTTCGGCAAACAAAACAACAAAAGGAGTCAATTCTCCTTACAGTATATTCTGTTAAGCACTTTGAGATGTCTCGAAGATGTGATAAGACGCTATATCAGATGCAAGGATTACTTATTTATTTTATTTATTATTTACATTCTTAAATTCAGTCTTAATTTGGAAGCTGATTTTGCATAATTCTTAAAAAGAACTGTGGATAATTGGAAGCCAAGTTGAGATTCAATTTAAGAATTTTCACAGTCTTAAATGTTAAAATATTAAGACCAAGGTTTTAAAGATTTAGCACTATGAGGAATTTCGGGCATCTGGTAATTTTCTACACAAGTATTTAAAATTTAGACCGACTGCACCAATCAAAGCCTTGTATGAAATATTAATCCAAGATCACATCAACATCATCCATAAAAGTGCAGTTCAAAATCAAATACATTTTTCCGAAGGAGATTGTTCAATTAAAAATACTAAAAAGATTAATTAAGCACTTTCTCTGAAGCTGGCTGTCTTCATTCAGTGGCCTGTGTGTTTTCCCTCAGTTGAAACGCACAAACACATTTTTCTTGTCATTGTTGATGAAGTATTGTTTCAAAATCTGAGTAAAATCAAGTCAGCATTGGCCTTGCACAAAATACTGTGTCAACTTGCTAATTGCACTGAGGGTAATATGCCTTTCCTTAGACACCGTGAGCTGTCTTTATGTTGAATCGTGTTGAATTTTGTTTCACAGCCTTTGCGTTAACCTTTCCTCCTTCCGCGCTGAATTAGATTATTAAGTAAACAGTATTTGCATATGTGGTTTTAAAGAGAGATCAACCCCTCCCAAACACACACAGGTACACACTCTCAGCCAGCTTTTTATTGAGGGACTGTTTTGCAATCTGGAGACATCTCTTTCAGCCCAATCTGTTCCTGGCACTGGCTGTGTGACCTCAGCTTCCTTGTGCTAAAACAAATTAAAAATATCTGTTGGATTTCAATGTCTGTGAACTTTCGATCGCTGAGCTGAGTTTTGATCTTGGAATGAGTGCAGACTGTAACCAGGAAATGCTATCTCAGGAAATCCAAATACACGATTTTCAGATGGAATTAATGGAAACGCCAAACATCGTACAGGGCAGGCAAGGTTTTCTTATTGACTTTGAGGTACTTTTGTAGCAGTCCAGGATGACTGGGAAGAAACTGCCTCTTGTGACCCTATAGTTCACGTTTGAGGGACATTCTAACTGACCAGCTATTATTGCAATGACCCCAATATCTCCCCATTCTGTCTTGGAAGCCAGTCCAGTGGGATTCCATGGGATATTTGATTGGTCATAAGTTTCTTTTAAGTGGAAGACCATTTCTTTAAAGTTAAGAGCGGGCGGAACTTTTGAAAGCAATCTTAAATTTAACACCCATTTGGAAGCCTATTTTTCACAGCACTGAACACAAACATTTTTAATGACTTTACACAGTAGAGAGTAGAGTGGCAGTGTACGTGGAGGAGACACAGTTAAGGCAGATGGTGTCAGCAAATTTTGAAGATGGGCTTGGATAGGTATTTTGGCGAAGAATCAGATTGTGAGGTTTGAGAGATGGAAGTATGATTGATTTTATATACAGACTTGCCAGGCAGACAGACCACAAAGGTTCACTCATTCCTATATTGTTATGGCACCATTAATATTTCAGTAAACTGATGCATCAAAGAAAAAAAATCAAAATACACAGCCAAAAATAATAAGGCAGTCAAATGAAAAAAAGCTGAGGTCTGAGACCTTACCACTCATTGCCCATCCCTTCATGCAAAATGTCCAGGGAATCTACAGGCAAAGTAAGTTAGTGCAGGTTAGTTATAACAGCAGGCAAACGTGAACCACTTGCTCAGAAGAACTTACTTAATTCATAGGCTTGGTCTTAAGGCAGTCAATGGCATGTTATTGGATCACCCCAAATGAAGGAAAAAATGTTTATGTAATTGCTGTCAAATACTATAAGAAGCTTCACATTACCAATGCTTAATAATCTGAGGTGACATTTCACTCCTTTGTTCAGGTAGTGACCTTCTATGACTCTAGTGCTATTTATGTTTTTTTCTTGTTTGTATGTAAATAGCAGTAAAGCTCTCTAGAGAAATATGTGAGTAAAATATCAAGTCTAGATCTTTGATAAATGGTAGTATAGTTTTACGTTTGATTTTATTTATCTCCATTTGGGACTCCAGATCCTAAATTCATAGCTTTAAGTTTATCCTTGTGAAGCTCTTGTGTACCATTAATCTTCTTTTCAAGGTGAAGGTTAAATGCGCATAAGAATTTGACCTGTTAATGTACAGAAGAGAAACTTAAGCTTGATTGATCCCAGCCCTGATCGCACCAGAGCAATGAAAGCAGCTTGAAGAGCTGGCAAAACAAATCGCAGAAAAATAAGGTCACCTTAGTGTCAACCTGTTATCACTTACCTGGACCCCAGTCAAGAAAGTTACTGATACGAAAGTTCATTAAAGCCATCAGAGTTTGGACAGTTAACAGGCCATGGTTCCACTTGCTGCACAGATCAGGATTATTAATAATGAATCTCGCGTGTTCATGCATCTTTCATATTCACATGAGGTGGCTGTGAGCTCATTGTCTGAGCTAAATGACTGGAGGAGCCTCTGATAAATTATTTCAATGTCGTAGGCTCCATTTCAGATTCAAGAATAATTATTATGTTGAGGAACAAGGGACCATAAATTGATTGTGCAGTTACTTTAACACGTGTTCGGAATGTTAAGCAGGGAAGTCTTACGAGTCAGAAATCAAATATTGGCAAAATGTTTTGATGAATCAATCTCAGGCAAGTGATGATGAATTGCTGAGTAAATTAAAACTGTGGCTAAATTTATCACTTCTAGCCACTGGCAATATATCCCCACAGTGGCTGAGGGAAAAGCAATGCGTTATTGACTTGCGTTCAGCTGACTGCAAGTTGGTGACGTACTCACATGTATTGGAAAAACCTAAAGTACATTTAACACGTGTCCCTGAGAAAGGAAGCTGCCAGTAAATGTTTGTCCATGGTATTTTTAATGAAGTGTCACGATCGGAGTTGAGAATTGGGATGAGGTATTAAAAGCTTCCTGCACTTCAACATCACTTTATAACCTCAGTGTTTTGTATGAGGCTTTGATTGACATCTACTCCTTTAGCCTCTCCAATCTCCGAACACCAAGAATAGGTATTTTAGATTTCACCCTAAATCGCTGCAGTAATACCCTGGTTTCTTGCTTCCCCCCCCTTTTCATACCGTGTATTTGCCCTGTTTTATGTTTAATTTCTCTTTGCTGGGTGATTTAAACCCATGCCTTGACCCCGATATTTGTCAAGCGTGCTCTTGACGTGGCCACTAGGAGGTGCCAAAGAGTGGCTCAGGAAGATCTGCGATGTGATTACCATCCCACCATCTTCCACCCCTCCAGCAGGGATAGCAACGGCCTTCTGCCCACTGTCTTCCTCACGCACCTGCCTGACATGGGCAGTCTCAAGAGGGAGAACCGATATTCCAACCCTCACAATGGAGCACGTTGTGTATCACCAGATTACTCTCACATTCTTTTCTTAGTTTTGAAAGGTGTTGTGTAGTCCAGGAGCATTGAGTTCTTTGGTTCCGGTTTGGACTCTTGACACAATACAATACGTTGGGAGTGCTGGGGATTAGGACTTGATATTACCAGTGATGTGGTGCTTTCACTGAGGGCCTGTGCTATCTGGGAGCTAGGGGTAGGCTTGACTGGAAAATTGGCTTGGGTTGAAAAGGCATAGTTACATAAACTATCCTAAGTTTTTCCACAAACCAGAGGGAGCCCTCACTAGTTCTAGGTGGAAAGCTTCCCATTTCTTTTCTTACAACAACAACAACTTTCAGGTATATGGCACCCCTCACACAGGGTAGCGTGAAGACTTTTGCGGAGTAAAAATCCTGGCACGGACTGGTTGGGACGAGTGGCTTGTTTCTGTGTCGTACATTCTTTGTAAACCTTTGTTAATCTTACGTGAAGAGCTCTCTATAAATGCAAGTTGTTGTTGATGATTGCCCCTTCCTAACCCAGGATTCATGTTCCATTTGTATCACCTCTAATGCTGTCCTGGCTGAGAGAGACAAATTCAGGAGATGAGAGGATTGAAGGTGGGTGCTGGGGAAACCAACAGAGCCCTTAAGGAGGATTTTTATGGCAAATTAAGTTTAACGGAGAGCTCACTGTGGGTGAAACTCTATTTCCTGCATACTTATTTAAAAAGTCAGGCAATCAATGCCGTGATACATTCGGTATGAGTTTACCAGAATTCCACTGGCACAAGGAAGTGTCGTTGGCAACTTAGAAAGAACCACAAAATCCATATCAGCACCTGATCTGAGCCACTCCTGTGACATTTAGACTGGAAATGTTGCACCAGATTGGCAGTGGACCATGTTGTCATTCGTGGCGTGATCTGTAGCCCACAACGCCCATCCTCGCTGCTGGTAATTCTCCGCAGTAATTCTTCGCACTAAGTTCCGACATTAAGGCTAGCCTGCAATTTTGAAAAATACTGACAATGATTTCATTGATGGTGTAAAAACCTGTGCTTTTAGTGCCTATGGAAAGTACTGTAATGCAGCATTGCACATGCCAAGTACAGCAAAATTCTCTTGCAAGCAAAATTGTAGATTAATGGTTCTGTCTACGGAAAGAGTAACATTAGCCTCACCCTTTAACTGCGGTGCATTCTGTACACTGCTACGTATAAACACAAACCAACTGAATAGCTTTTGCCAAGAAATGTCTTTGATTCAGGCGTCCCCATGTCCAACTGTTTCTAATTGATCCCAGCCAACGCTCACGCACAAAGCGATTAACTTTTTCTCAAACGACATGGTTTAATTTGCAACTTATTTAACCAAAAAGATGTGGTAATTATATTAAAAAAACGCAACAGTCAGACACCACTCTCTGTTCACACTAATCACTTTGTACACTCAAAAAAGAAAGCTTGCTTTGCTCTTCTATAGAGTTGAGCTGTCATGAAAGCAAATTTTCTACTAAGTCTGCGATGCTTGATACCTGATTTGACGTTAATTATTATTATATCAAATCGGTTATGAAATGTCATTTTTCACACAATTTCAATGCTACATTGAAAGGAGGAAGAGAGACACAAGTTGGGTATATTAAACAGTGTCTCACTCACTCTGTGTGTGTGTTTGTAATTCACTTTACAGTATATTCTGTGAAGGGCTTTGAGACGTCTCAAAGACATGATAAGGCGCTATTTCAAATGCAAGGATTATTATTATCTCAGCGAAACTAAGTGGAGCCAGTAGCATCATCTCGAACAGTGTTACTCTTTGCACCAAATGAGCAATGCTACAAAAGCCAAGATTTATGTCAGCTTTTCCAATTAAACTTTCCTTTGATAGATACAAGATGCTTGAACCTCAACCAAGGATATTCTTCTCTTTGCTTAGTTGCAAATAGCAGTGTGTGTTGCCCGGGTCTGAGTGTTTTGGAGAGGGAAGAGGGTACGTGGACGATACGGAGTCTATCTTTTTATCTGGACACTTTTTCCATTGTTCCCATGTGCCTATTGCATAAACATTTTGAACCGTTTAGCTCTGAGGCTGAAATAAAATTGACAGGACAAATGCAGTTTTTTTCCCAGTAAAAATAAACTTATTGCAATGTATCCAGGAATAGTCATTTAAAAGGAATCTGCACGTATTTGAAGTCAGCTCTTACTGGAAGCATCCTGTCCCTCATTTCCTGGATGCCGCCAAAGTTAGAAAAAATGTCTCCAAACCTCAGTCAAATTTGGCCCACTGTTTTCCCCATGTTTCTAGTGATGACATTTGACTCTGCTGTATTAAACGACTGCGGTCAGCAGCCAAATCTCCAGCACATCAGTAACTGCAAAGAAAGTATTCATAAAAAAAACTCCAGCTACATGTACTTTGGCAGGAAGCCAAGAAATATTCCAGCCATGTAGAGAGTGATTCTAATGATGACTACCATGTGTATAATGTCCAATATTAATGCTAACTACACACTATTTCCTCCCAACTGCAATTAGAAGCTAAAGTTATTTGCCCAACAGAAGAAAGCACAGCAGGGCTATTCTTCGATGCTGAATTCTTTCTAACAGGATTTTCATCTTAAGCGTACTGGGTGATAATACAGTATAACGGTAATCACCCAGCTTTGCCAGTGCTCAACACTGCTATGATTTCACGCCATTCGTCAAGCTATGACTAGACTATCCATCAGGGCTTTGGCTCGCAGAGCAGTGGACGTGCTTACACTTCCAAACCTCACTGAGGAGCCAGACAGGCTGGTCAGCCACCAACAATGTTTGATTGTTTGTTGCTTGGATTACTGTGAACCTTTCCCTAGGCAAGTCTCCTTGGAGGCTGTTCAAACCCAGAGAGAGCCGCACATCCACACACACGGCAACTTGTCAGCAACGGTCACTGCCTACCGATGAGAGAGTGCACATAGATTTGAATCTGGTCGCTCTCATTGCGGTTAAGGAGTTGTCCAGCCAGTAAATTGAATTGTCTCTTATGTAACATGAGCATTTTATAATCTGTCTCTGTCTTCCACAGAGATCTGAAACTGGATAACGTCCTCCTGGATTCCGAGGGTCACTGCAAACTGGCTGACTTTGGGATGTGCAAGGAGGGAATCCACAATAACTACACAACTGGGACGTTCTGTGGCACTCCAGACTACATAGCACCCGAGGTAGGGGAAGGTGCAAATTGGAATTACAAATTGGAAGCGTTCACAATAAGCTCTTTTCTCAGCGTTGCAGATGGGGCCAAGGTTACACAGCAGCCAATACCTACACACTCCACTATTTCGGTCGTGCCAAGCTTCCAAATATAGTAATGGTGCTTTTGCATCTGATATAGCGCTGGTGTGTCGAATGTCTCAAAGCGTTGCATGGGCAACTGCTGTCAAGTGGAGTGATTGTGTATTGTGCAGACAAATGTGGAGCCTGTTTTTCTACCCGAACTGGGCTTGGCTGGACGAGCAACCTAGATTATAAACTCAATGTTCTAACTTTGGTTGAACCCACCTTGTGCCCAGAGTTAAGGCAAGCTTCCAAAGTGAGATTATCGCTTCCAATATTGAGATTGAAAAATGGGGTTCTGAAACAAGAGATTCCTCAATGTGAATAAGAAGAGAATGAACGCAATGTGTGGAATGTGTAATCCCTCTCCTCATCCCCCCCCCTCGCCCGCCCGCCCCCCCCTCAACAGAATTCTTAGCATTGACACATTCATCTTCCCAGCCTGCAGATTGCAGCCTTCACAACTTTACTGAAACTTCAAACAAAACAAATGAAATGACCGAATTAACAGTGTCTATTAAATAGGGCATTCAATCCTGCTGAGAATCAGGTGGGAAGTGATGATGTTCCTCGCATCAAAACACAGGAACCCCCAAACCTCTCATTCCAAGCGTCCAAATACAGGTGCACTACTATAGCAGTAATCTTACATTTAAAATCGATGCGACGGACTGTCTATTTATACTGAAGCCGAGAACATTAAGAGGAGGAAATTCATCGAGGTCTTCTGTAATCCAATAGGGGAGAATAAATGAGGGGATTGAGAGGATAAATAAGGATAAATTACTCTCACTGAGTTGATATGATCTTTTGGCACCTGTTCGCTCCAAGACAGTGAACCACCCTGCAATAAATAACAAATCGGTTATTGCAGCATTTTATTATAACATTCTTTCCTGTTCATTTCTGCTTTAAACAATTATGTAACGTTTAAAAATGAATTGTGGAATCTTACAATAAATTGAAGCTCCTGTGGGTTAAAATTTGAATTGCTTTGTTGAAGTACATTTACTCAAAATAATAGTTAGGGTAACTTTAATTCGCTTAAACTTCTTGCCAATTAGATGCCGTAAAGAGCTTGGATATTCATTTTTGTCTGAAAGCCGTATTATTATTATTATTATTATTATTGAGTATTATTTTCTCCCTGAGTGAAGCTTCTTGCCTTACTGTAATGCTGTAAAGCTTAGCAAAATAGTTTTACTGGGTTGGAATGAGGCACTGGGGGAGTAAGCACAACCATCATCCAAAGGCTTAATTAATCTGTGTGTCAGCCTGACTCAGGCGGTTGCCTTCAATCATTTTGTTATCAGAATTTTACTAAAATGATGATTTTCATCAAATTCACCTGAGAAACGTCTTGATCAAAATATCCCCCCCCCCCCCCCCCCGTTTTGGTAACCAGGCCCATTTTCTCTATTTAATTTGTCGATAAAGGGTACTTTTTGTGAATTTTTTGGTCACTAAAATGGGGATTGTGAGAGCTGAAAATGTTGGATGATATTACATCATTTATTGTTAGCACCAAGTCAGGTACAGTCATTTACAGACTAAGTCTCTCTCTCTCTCTCTCTCCAAAGAAGCAAGAGTGCGATTGAAAAGATAAACAAATTTCAAGGAACTTAGCAAACAAGATAATAAGATCTAAAACTATTGGGATCATTCGCAGTACACTTAGATTCCTTGATGGGAACATAAAGTACTGGAAACTTTACCCATCGCTGATTTATTTTTCTCAATTAAATGTAGATTTTGGTTTAAAACCGTAGCACAAGGGCACGTATGCTTTGCGTTTGCGTGGCTGGTTGAGATGACTGTGTGAGGGAGTGCTGCGATGACAGGAGTTGTGTTTTGTGGACAGATTTTGCAGGAACTGCAGTACGGTGCCTCTGTGGACTGGTGGGCTCTCGGGGTGCTGATGTACGAGATGCTTTGTGGTCAGCCACCGTTCGAGGCTGAGAACGAAGACGACCTGTTCGAATCCATCCTCAACGATGACGTCCTTTACCCAAACTGGATGGCGGAATCGTCGCTCGCTATCCTGAAGGGCGTAAGTTGATGCTTGTTCCCCAACCGTGGCTAAGCTGCAGCCACTATCCCTTTTTTTGAAGCGTAAAATAATCTTCAGCAATCCAATTAACGTCCTTAAAAAAAAAAAGGAGGAATTTTCCAGTAAGAGATCACATCACCTGGTGCCATTCAGAGCAGGAAAGCTCCAGATTCAAAGTGGATCTGAAATGCTGTACACTGTCCAGTGCCTTGGGATGTCCTCCCGACATGAAAGGCACTATACAAATGTAATCTTGTTGTTGTTGGAGTGACTGTGTATTTTGTGGGCAAAACCCGGCAGACAGTTGCACACAGCAGTGTCCCACAAACAGCCATGGAGCGAGGGACCAATTTTTTGTGGGGGATTGTTGGCCAGGACACCGGTGGAGAGAGAGAAACTCCCTTCTCTTTTCGAATAGCGCCGCGGGATCTTTAACATCCATCTGAACAGGCAGACGGGACCTCGGTTTAACGTCTCATCTGAAGGACCGAGCCTTGGATGAACCTTGCTTTGAATTTTATGGAACCAGTGTCTTAGCTGAACAGGGCTCTCCTCACAGAAAAGTGCTGTGTTGGCAAGTTCTGGTACTTGATGCCTCACAGAAACCACAGGTGCTGAAATCAGATCCTGTGTACAGTGAGCTTGTCTGCAGCTACAAGTTGCTCTTTTCCGAAGTTTGTGTTGAAACATTATCCTTTTGTCGTGCTTCCCCTAGCAGATCCTGATTGATCTCATTTCGGGATGGTTGGGTTGCAACACAACACGTTCTTTCCCAAATTCCACCCTCAGCAGTGATAAAGCTGATTTGCACTGATTGCACGTCTGCTGAGCTTCCCACTTCCAAGTCGCCCCGTGTAGTGAAGCCCTTTTATAACACAGCGATTAGGATCCATAAAATCCCAACCCCTCGTGCCGTAATGATGCGTGAAAGCCTATTTCACTGTTCGTGCCAGCAGCCGGCAGTGAGCATGATGTGATGACAAATTAATAATCCTTGCATTGATGTAGCATCTTATCACGTCTTCGAGACATTTCGAAGAGCTTCACAGAATATACTGTAAAATGGAATGACTGTGTATTTTGTGCCCGGAAGCTGGGCATTTCAATGGGAAAGCCCCATGATATGCACATTGAATGGTTTCCACGCTGCAACCATGTTATAACCAACGGTATGCTGTAAAGAAGCGGATTTCAAAATAAATCCTAATAATCCGCATGTTGGGAAGGATGTCTCAAATAGCTTCACGGGATTTACTGTAAAGTGTAGTGAGTGTATGACATATAGGTGAGCTGTCATAGCACTTCCCAGTGCATCTCACGAAGGTCTTTAGCTCTCTGTTTTGTACCATCTTGCTGCTATATAAAATCAGCTTTCCTACTGTTCTCTATGTTAATTTCTTTGAGACATCCTCCCAGCTTTAGTTGTCCTCGACAAATATTTGTTCCTTTCATATTCTGGCGTTGCTTCACCCACTGCACATTTGCCCCTTCGGCAGGAGGAGCGGGATCGGGTAAACCAGAGTTTTCTCAGTAGCCCTTGACAATGGCAGTCCGTTACCAGCCGGCAGACATGCTTCCTCAGGGCATGGTGGGTGTGCCTGGCACCGCTGGTATTCCCTTTGCCCTGTCACTGTACAACGCTCCATCTACTGCCAGAGGAAACGCTGCTAATGTTTCCCCTGGTGAAGTTAACAGTTCAAATAATCATTGAAGGAATTCAGAGGTCTGGGTTTCTGGTTGAGTAACCAGTTGGCAGCACTTTTCTTCATTTTTTCCCCAATAATTCTTTTTGTACATTTCTCTTTCCTTTCCCGTTTCTAAGTCTTTGCCCCCCCCGCCCCATCCCAATAATAATTCTTGTATTTGATACAGCGACTTTCACAATGGGAGGATGTCTCAAAGCGCTCCACTGGATATATTGTAAAGCGTAGTGAGTGTGTGTTTTATAGGCAAATAAAAGTACGAACCCCTATCAAACATGTCTCGCTCCAGGTTTCAGTGTTAGAAGAGATGCAATGCACAGGATACGTTTTGAAAAGTCCAATGCAATTGCTCACTTAAAGACCAGCGCCTACCCTATTTGAAGTAAAATTCTATCAAGCTAGACTGATGATTGATGTCAGCCCTCTCATGTTGAAACAAGAATGTTGTCTGACCAAAGCTGACCTTGTGTTGGGACTTTCCGTTCATAGCTTTTGTCTTCCATCATTGACTGTGTAGGTTTTAACAGCTCTGCACAGGAAAAGACAAAACCGAACCCATCACACAGTCCTCTTGTTTCCTCTTATATTGTCTTTGCTTCAGAAGTCTGTAAAACCACCAGACAAGTAATGTGAATCACCTGGTGTTTGATGGGTTATCAGCCAACATTAGATTAGACTGCTATCTGGCCTTGTTGCCTTAATACTCCCATGAGCTGTCTGTCAATCTATCTATTATCTGTGTGTGTTGGTGGAGAGATCTGATCCTTCAACATTTTGAGGTAGGAAAACATATCCTAGCATTTAACATAACGCCTTATCACATCATTGAGATGCCTCAAAGCCCTTCGCAGAATACACTGTAAAGTGAAGTGACTATATATTTTGTGGACGAAACATGGCAGCCAATTGCACACAGCTGTGTCCCACAAACAGTGGTAGTTTGATTTACCAAATTATTATTATTTTCCTTGCATTGGATATAGCGCCTTATCGCGTCATTGACGCGTCTTAAAGAGCTTCACAGAATACACTGTAAAGTGAATTGACTGTATATTTTGTGGGAGACAAGTGGCAGCCAATTGCGCACAGCAGTGTCCCAGAAACAATCATGGATGGAATGACAGCATTTATTTTGTTGAAGGGATCATTACCCCTAGAAAAGCAATCCACCAATTGACTAACAACCGGGTGCTAACCCTTTCCTCCTCCCAAATGCTGTGGTGTATGTTGATGCTTGATAGTTGATGATGAGGTTGCTTTGCTGAGGATCCGGAGAAGCTGTGTGCGTAAGATGGCATTGTGATTGATTTGAACTGACGCACAAGTCTCAACCACATTGACGTACAGCACCCCACACCACACAACAACCACTTAGTAATTTAGGAAGTGAAGCTTTTCACTCCATATCACCAATGCCATCAACGTACTTTAAAATCAATTTTTTTTTTCCTTTTGTTAAACGTCAAACTGGAATGCAGTTTCCATGGTAGGCATGATGATACACAGCTTATTCGCAGCACTCAATAAAATGTTGTTGTGAGTTTTGGCTTAGGAAATGTGCAATTGTTCTGAGTTGTAACGCGTCCAAGTTAATGTGTGTAAAAAAAAAAAAAAAAAATTGTTTCCTGCACACTGTTTCCTGTGCCCACATATGTTTCTGTGTCTTCAATTCTCTAAATCTACACAGGCCAAGTTACTACAATAGTTAAAGGCAGGACAATAATTAATCCCAGAAATACACTATCTTGGGGTTAACGCAGGAGAGGTTTGGATAAAGAAGGCCTTTTGGCCCGTTTTATCTCATCCTGCCAGGATACCAACTTGCCTGTCTTTCCATTTGGGCATCAAATGGATCCCATGTCCTGACCTCAATCGCCCTTCCTGGCAATCGGTTCCAGCTGTTAAACTGCTCTCTGCGTGAAGAAATACTTTCTCGTATCTGTTCTAAATTTGCACATCACAATCCAGCTTCTCCAGTTTGTTTCTACTGCCTTAGCATGTCTGAAAGTATTGCTCTGCCTCTACTTTCTCTATGGCATTCAGTATCTGCCTCCATAATGCCTCCGATTGAGAAGAGATCTCTTTTTGAAGCTGAAGTTCCTTAGATAATCAAATTCATTCCTGTGGTACTGAGAATCAGCCTTGTTGCTCATCTTTGCTGCCTCTATGATCTGAATGACTCATTCCAGGCAACTATATAGTCTGAGCATGTCTTAATAATAATAATAATAATAATAATAATGCTTGCATCTGATATAGCTCCTTATCACGGTATTGAGATGTCTCAAAGTGTTTCACAGAATATACTATACAGTGGATTGACTGTATATTTTTTGTCGAAATGCGGCAGCCATTTGCGCATATCAGTGTCCCATAAACAGTCATGGGTTGAGTGACAGAATAGTGCCTGGAAACGGCAGCTACCTTGGGAAATGGGATACATCTGCTGAGAATTGTGCAAACAGTGGTTGCAAGCCAGCAGTCAAGGATTGACACAACAAACCCACTTGGTGAATATTTATGTCCCAACTTGTATAAAACGTTACTACATGTTGCATCAAAGGAGTTTTCATTGAGGCGTCTCACTGACACATGGCATTTCTTCAAGGTAATCCATAAACGTTGTGTCAAAGCCATTAAACCACATAACCCAATAAACGGCTTCAGACTTCAAGGTCAATTTCTCTGTGTGCAATGTCCAGTCTAGTCTGTTCCCTGGTGGTTGACTTCATGGAATCGTATGTTACACCAACTCTGCAATTTACTGACGGCCATCCATTCACTCTCTCGTGCACTCAGTTTAGCTTTTTTTTAAACCTTTTTTCCCTCTGTTCACTTCCCTTGAGGCATCCACGTCAGCAGAGCTGTGGAGGGCTGCCAGCACTGCTGAGCAAGTATGAATGAGCAACCCTTGCTCTGGCCTGAGAGGTGCTATCGCTTTCCTGACGCGCTCCTGCCTAGATCCTCGATGAGAGTCAACATGACTGGTGGAGGCAGTCGCCTCTCAAATCCTTTGGCGTTACTAAAAATATACTGTGACCCCTGTTGGAAACTGTTGTTCTGGGACTTTGTACATATTCCTTCTTGCTGGAGTGTGGTGCACAGTAATTCTAAATCACTTGTCTTATCGCATGAATGAGCATCAGCAGGACTTCATTGTGGCAGCCTCTGCCAGTGTGCTGCCTTCACATCAGTGCCTTGTGGGCAACAAGAGAAGAAATCTGAGCCTCTCCTCACCCACTGATCCGCCCTGGGACCGACTGCAATAGCGTTCCTGCTTTGTAAGCACAATTGTCTGACCCAGTGGATATGCAGTGTCAGTACTTTAAACTGACACCCGTGTAATTGAGAATCAGACAATTGAGCGACCAAGTTTAATCTAATTTGTCTGTGACAAAACGGAGCTCCAATTCTGTGTGTGGTTGAGTGGGGGTTGGGGTGGGGGCAGTCCTGATAGTGTGGTATATCAGTGTAAAACTAAAAAATGATAAGAATCCTTACATTTGATACGGTTCCTTTCACATCGGGAGGACATCTTACAACAATTTACTCTTAAATGCAATGTATTTTGTAGGTGACATCTCTGCATCCTAAATCTAAGTGCTACTGTTTTTTTCTACCTGTCTGAATGTGAGTTTAGAAAACTGGCTTCCAAATTAAGCCTGGATATATGTCTACAAAAAAAAATTGAGCATGATCTCAAATCTTAAGTCAATGCTTTTAGGATTAAGACTAAAGAATTTCAGGCCACTGAATTTTGCAGTAGAGGTCAATGGAATACAAGTTTGGCTGAATTCAGTGGATTTAAGTCTAGTTACAGGTTATTTGTACCAAAATCAAGAGTGAAATTGGGAAGATTGTAGAGTTGGTATTCTGGAACAATGAGAAAGGCCTTATGTATCTTAACATGTTAGGGGCAAGGAATGGCAATGCCTTTCATAAATAATAGTATCTAGACGACGACTCAAAGAGCTGCACAGGATTCACTGTAATGTGTAGTGACTGTATTTTTGTATGCAAAAGTGTCAGCCAATTTGCGCACAGCAATATCCTGCAAACAGCCACAAAGTGAACGATCAATTTTCTTCACTTCCTCAAGGAAATGCAATTCACTATAAGTTGCAGGTTTTAGGAAAGGAAGAAAGGGGGCAAAATGTGTTTTGAACTCACTGTTTTGTGCGTGATTATCTTCTGAAATGGAATGATAACAGTTGTGTGCTTTTCTTCCTTTTATTCATCCACAGTTTATGATTAAGAATCCCAACAAGCGTTTAGGATGTGTCATAGCACACAGTGGGGAGCAAGCCATTCTGATACACCCGTTCTTTGAAAGTATTGACTGGGAGTTACTTGAACAGAGGAAAATCAAACCGCCTTTCAAACCCAGGATTGTAAGTGTCTTTTTTTCTTCTTCTTGTCGAGGTGAATTTTTTTTAAACTGTGGAATCCTTAGCAACTTACCTTAAAGCAATCTCGTAACTCCAAGCAATAACAAACTGTTCTCTGTCGATCCGCCACTGCATTGTTGACCTCTGTTGCTGCTTCGCTCATATTTTGGTGGCTTGAAACCTTTATCTGATGAGACACTGGATATATTGTGCACTAAAACCAGCAAATGGAATTTCCCTTCATAAAGATGTCATGGGAAGATTACTATTGATTTGCTAACACTGAGGCTCGACTCATGGCTGTCGGGATCTGTTCATAATAAATTTAGTAAATAGTAAATGATAAATTGGTGACTCAATCCATGACTCTTTTTTGGGAAACTGCTGTGCACAATTGGCTGCCACGTTTGGCCCCAAAATGTACAGTCAATTCACTTTACAGTATATTTTGTGAACCACTTTGAGACGTTTCAAAGCAATGATAAGATGCTATATCAAGTGCAAGGTTTGTAGGATTATTATTCTTCTGCACATGTTCAATAATGCCTGGCCTTGTTCTGTAATGTGTGCAGAAGGTTAGAACTCCTATTAACCGAAAGATAGGAGTCACTTGTGCATGTGGTTTCATGGGCAAGACAAGTCACAGTCTGCTTATTCACACCAAGGTTAGGAGTGAAAAGGTTGAGATGTGCTTCTATTGTGGCAACTGTGGAAGTATTTTAAACGGGTTAAATTCCACATGAAAAAACGAATTCTGAATTAGTCACCTATGTGACCCTGAATTGGTTTGGATTTAAATCGAGTTCCGACTCATTTTATTTTGGTTCACCTATGCATGTGATTTTTTTTCCAACCCCTTTTTTTCATTCATAAGAAATGATGCAGGTCATGAAACAAGCGCATACTATCTGACGTGGGAGGTAGAAAATGACATGGAAATGATCAGCCTGTTAATCTAGTGCAGATTACACAGATGTAATTATCCAGGAAATACATAGGGAGTAAAGTACCTTTAGATATGTTCTGTATTGAGGAACATTGGTTTGGAGTTACTGTGGAAATGCACAGGTTTCATAGGGAAGCCTGCTTATTTTCCACTGCTTGAGGCAGGTTGTGACCTCTGTTTGTGTGACTTAGAATAGGAACCCTTTAATGATTCTGCGGATGCTGTAGCAAACTGACTTCTGACCAGGAAGGAAGCACCTCCCATTTCCTACTTAGTGTGGAGAGGAAGAGTTAGGGACATATGGTGCTATAGGTCGTCGAACTGTAGGACTCATTGCTGAAGATTTAGCTGAGGTTTACCTGGAAATTTTTAATAAACTGTTTGAGCTTAAGAATTGCTACTTTCCTCAGATGTTCACTACCTGCACACAGATATGTAATTGTCGGTGCCTGTAATTCTAAGCATTAATATATAATAATAATAATAATAATAATAGCATTTGATATAGCGCTTTATCACGTCTTCAAATAAGCGATCCGCCAATCGACTGACGACCGGGTTCCTACTTACTGCAAGGTAAACTGAGGCATGTGGAGTAAGGAAACTTGCCCAGTGTCTCACCCTGCCCGGGAATCGAACTCCACTGAGCTACAGGACTCCATGAGGAGGTCAGGCATAAAAGTAGACTTGTAGGTGGAGAGGTCTTCCTTTGGATTTTTCCACTTATTTAAAGACCACTCTGCTCGGCACGACATTACAAATAAGAATGATGGCTTCTAATCTGTCTTATTTTCCTCTCCTGTCAGAAAACGAGTAGAGACGTAAATAACTTTGATCGAGACTTCACCACGGAGAAGCCTGTACTGACGCCGATTGATGAGTCCCTGGTCCTTATGATTAATCAGGACGAATTTAAAGGATTTTCATTCGTTGCCGAATGAGTGCTTGCCTGAGTTATGAACCTCTCTAAATCCTTCAGCAAGCGGAACAATTCAGAACTGGTTCAAGTTTCAATCCTATTCAGATCCACCTGAAACAAACTGAATGACTCGCTCTCTCTGGGTGACGATGTTTTAAGCAACATAGAAAGTGTGTTCAATCTCTCAGTACAATAGTGTGTAAAATTGCTGAACTGGGAACTGGCAAGACATTTATATTATTGGGTCCTACAGTCACTCTTCCTTCCTTTGCTTTGTGCAAGTAAAAATAAAATGGTGTCACCTTTGTCTATTGTCTCATCACCGATGTCTTGTCTCGGTATCAGAACTGAAAGCTGTTATGAGGTTGCTGTTTACAAAAAAGTATTGTGTTCTGAGGTCATTATTAAATTATAAGTTTGTTCTGTAGAATATATACCAAGGTACTTGTCAACTCTGCATTAGAGACCTGAAATCAAGTTGTTATGAGTAGGGCTTTCTGCACTTCCATCTACTGTACTAGAATTGACTATCTTCCTGGCCATATGCTCCATTCAGAAACCTGTGTGTTCATTTCTTCTCTGTGTCGGATGGGATTAATTAACGTGCTCTAGTCTTGCATTGTGGTTTGCTGAGTGCTTGAAGCAATGTTCTAATGTGTAACAGAGAAATTTAGCTGTGGCATGTTTTGTGTGTATATAAGTTGCAGATGTTGGCAAATTTTGTATTATAAAAAACAAAAAAAGACATTTTTTGTCTCCTGAAATCTGTTGAGTCACTGACACAGCAAGATCCACTGTATATACGTAGGATACACCTTACAGCAACAATAACTTGCATTTATGTAGCACCCTTCACGAGGGGTAGCGTCCCGGAGCGCTTGAATTACTAGGAGCACCTTATTACTATACTCGCAGATACATGAGCCCATTTCCTGCAAACAGTCACATCTTCATTATGGACATATTTGCATAGATTACTGACGATATCGGGTGAAAGCTATGTGACGTTGAAGGAATAGCTCAGACTTAAATTGCGCTTCCTTATGCAAACCCCATCACAAACATCACTGAGAAGGGATCAGATGATAAATAGCCTTTGATTTGTTTCACACTTTTTAGTTTAAAAGCACAAACAAAGCTTGCTTTCAAAATGAAGAATCATTGGACCATTGGCAGTTTTTATTGGAATGACCTCAACCAACACAAACCCGGTCTTATGGAATCACCAGTTAGTTTGGGTACAGAGAATGTCTTCTTGAGTCTTGGCCTGATTTATTTTCTTTCCATTCTGCTTCATCTTGCGGTTCAGTTTCACTGGCACAAGTGAGCAACCCATTCATCTCTCCTCCATTCTTACCCTGTCTGAGAATCCAACCCTGAGGCATTGAGGTCCTTATTGGCTCAACTTCACCCTGAGCAGTGACTTTGCTCACTGAACCAATGGAGGGGATTTTGAACAACGAGTTGATGGTGTGGACTACAATTTGACATTGTTCCTGTGTATTTTTTTCCTCCAAACTATATCTGTTGAGGCAGGACAGCAAAATAAGGTTTTCATTGTTCTTGCCCTTTTTACAGAAATAAATTGAGCTAATATTCAGTTGGCCACATAACTGTAGGGAGTATAAATGGAGGGTTGATTCCCGTGAGAAAGAAGGTGATGATTATAAGCATCACAAAGACTGAAAAATGAATTTCAAACACTGGGCTTATTGTGTTGGGTTTCCGATACTGAAGGGACAAGCATGAAAGGTTATGAATGAAGTTAGCATCACATCAGCAATTATGGAAAATTTCAAGTGCAAGTCATTGTTTTGAGCCACAAAGGCCGTGTGATGGCTATTTTATAATAAGATTTTACTGTACTGCCTCAAGAGGTGGGGTTTCAACTGCAGCAGAAGTAATAGTAGAATTAATATTTTATTTGGCCTCCTCCCTCACCCCAGCAGCACCTCACCATTTGTGTTCCGTAAAGGATAGGGCAATAAGATACAATGGTAAGAAACAGCAGTATTGTAGATAGCATTAGGATATGGATCTCCTGTGGCTTTATTATACATAGTTCTGACTGCTGAGGTCAATTGCTGCAGAGGTTAAGAAATGTAAGTGACCTGCTGGAATGGAAGAGGTTTAAAGGAGATTAAAATTCAGGCATGCCTGTTTTTGCTGGATTGAGAATAAATGCTGTAAATATAGAACTGCCTGCCTCATGTCACTATTAAAAGTTGAACAATGTACAAAGATATTTACATACAGATTCACTTTTTATATATTATAAATGTTGTTACATCCAAGAAACCTATAATCTGCTCTTCAAATAGACAGCTACTGTTCTTAATTACATGATAGTTGCTTAGACTGTGGTTAACAATGTGAGTCAGGAATCCGGCCTGGATATAATTTCATTAAGGTCTTACTGCAGAAGTGGTTACACATGGAGACTTTTGAGTGACGTGAAGTCAAGGACATTCTAAAATAAAACCTCTTAAAGAAAATCAATTCATGGAAAAAACACTCCAGAAGAGTCGGCCATTCCCACATGTCCACGGTTCAAACCTTGGCTCTTAATGGCCCCTTCCTCCACTCTCCCAGTCCAGCAGCGGAGAAAACATTTTGTCCTTAGCAGAACTATACATAGTATCTGTACATCTGCACTTAGTCCTATATCTTCCAATACTGTCCTGCAACAAATACATATTGAGCTCATATTTGAAGTAAGTCAGTTGACAGAACACCAGCTATTTTTATTGGGAATCCTTTCCACAAACCTGTACTTTCCGAGAGAGAGAAATAAACTGTACTTTTCATCTCTATTCCTGCTTGAAACCTCGTTAATTTTAAATCTTGACCATTCTGGTTGACTCATAATTTGTCGACTAGCCTGTTATCCCGGTACAGATCAGCACACCGAGTCTTCCTATTTGTCTCGGCTGCACTCTGAGGCTTCGGGGAGCTTGCCACAGTAAGTATTAGTTTTCCATTAATAATTTAGGGTAACATTTTCAATGCAACTTAATTGTTTTCCAAATGTCATCCCTCCTAAAGGAGTACAGTTCCATGGGTTGTGGTAGCCTCCTGTTACCAATTAGCTGGTCTTCAAAGGTGAGCCAAGTCAATGAATATCTTTACATGTCTACAACACTCTTCCCTCCTCCTGAAAGCACTATCTCCTACTGAAAACACAATGTGCAGTACAGTAATTATGTCAACATATATTTTGAGGGGGAATTGTTTGCTACAAGATACAGTCACCATGCTTTTCAGTAAATCCTGTGATGTGCTTTGAGAAGTCCTCCCCACATGAAAGGCGCTATATCAAATGTAAGGATTATTATAATTAGAAAGCTATTTGGTGAAGAATTCAGCGGAAAGGGAATGAGTGATAGAATTGTGGAGGATTCTTTTTTTAAAATGTCTTTTGTTTGCATTTGCACTTTTGACTTCACAAATGGGCTGCAATGTTCTTTTCTGGGTCTGTTGATTCTGATTTTAATAAAACACCTTGGAGTCTGCTTACAAGGCTAAGTAATCCCTTATTGAGGGGTTGAGGGAATGTCGTAGACCACAAGAATACAGTTGTCGTTGCCATTGACTCGTTTAATAATGCATCTAACATGTGCTGGCACATTTTTAAAATAAGCTTGTGGATGTTGCAGTGGGACTCAATCTACCTGAAAGGGATTAACAGTGTTTAAAAATTGATTGGAAAATATTAGGCAGAACAAACCCTTAGCCTAATTGTAAGGATGTAGCTCAGATATCATTACTACTCATAGCAGTCATGCCCATCCTGAATTTACAGTGCGATATTAAATAATTCAATGTCTAGTAACATGAAATAGCAAGAGCATACTGTCTTCTGTCCATCCATCCATTCAAGCAAAGGAAAGGTTGCAAGATTTTATGTTTGTTACTTTCACCATTTGTACAATTCTCAGTGGTTAATGTGGCGTTAGATTCTTCTCAATAATCCACCGATATGGTGAAAATGAACTTTCATTCTTTGTGTAAGGTGCACTTTGCAATCGGACAGATGTATCATTGTTTCTTTATTGTGGAAAAAATCAAAGAGCTGCAGTATTAGGTTGCTGCACTTGTTAGCTTGCGAGATGATAAGCCATTTAGTTGTGTTCAACAAGTAATCTGAATGAAGAATGTTAACAGTGCCTAGATAATTATGCAAGGTTTGCCATGTTTCTTGTTAGAATTTAAGCATCATACAATCCTATAGCACAGAAGGAGGCCATTTGGCCCATCGTGCCTGTGCCAGCTCTTTGGTAACGCTATCCAGCTGGTCCCACTTCCCTCGCTCTTTCCCCATAGCCTTGCAAAAGACTATATTTTCTGTTATGTCATCTCCGGTTCTACCTGTTTCAGCAAGAACATTACTAGTCACAGAGGGTGTGCAATATTTGTGGCAAATGGGGACAGAGGCAGATGATGATTGCGTGATACATTAATTGTATTTCAGTAAATTGCAACCCACGTGGGAAGGGAGTGTAGATGAATTGAGACAAATGAGGAGGTGCAGCTTGAATGATAAATACATAATCTGCTGGTTTTCCCCAAGCCTTAAAAATGATCAAACAATAAAGGGAGTGTATCAATCTGCACTGTCTTGTTTGAATAGAGCATTGTTCTTTCATTCATTAAGGACACCTGTTCAAATGGACTCAAAACATGTGCAAAAATGGTCACCCTCGTTTCAAGGCCATTTCATTAGATAAGGAAGTTTTCATCTTTTTTACAATCTGATTTCCCAAACTATCATCATAACTTCAATTAGCTAAATTCATTCCATCAAGCTACAAACACAGAAACTATGAGGAGCTTGCAACTGTGCAACATGAGTTATTTCTCTCAGTTGACGTTTGGTTTGAGGACAACGTGGGGAAGTTGGCAACACATCCGATCTGTCTGGGCAAAAGTAAACTGTATGAAATAGGAGATCTTTTCAGCAGCATTTGTACAGGTGGATCTTTCACATCACTTTGCAAAGATTATCACTTGAATTGCTCATTGTGTCTTCTATTCTTATACACATAAATAGGGCATTGCAGCCTCATGGCAATTGAGATTAGGTGGCCTCAATGTAGCACATTTAGAAATTGGTCATCTCATTCTAAGAGGATAATAAAATAGAGGGGCTCCAATGGAGTTGAGGTAAAGGATCTTTGCATTCTACCTGACCTCCCCTGCAAGAGTACCGTACGTAGAATGGGAATCTGATGTCTCAACAAAAAACAGCTGGTGCTTTGTCGATTAACAAAAAAATGGTAAGTAATTGCTTGAGAACAGTATTTGAAAGATGTAATTTATCTTGACTAAACATACTGGCCAACAATTCCAGCCCCACCTCCCCCTCTCCCCCTTCCCCGCCATATAAAATGGTCATCAAGAGGGGGAAGTGGTGAAGACATGATACGTAGGGTTGCGGGGTAAGTATTCAGAGAAGTCTTGAGGGGAGGTAACAAAAGAATGAATGAGATTTTTGGTGATGGTTTTGTGTTGGTTGGAGCCTGAGCCGGGCAATCTGTGGAAGGTTACGAAAAGTATGCAACTTGTCCAATCTATTGGAAGGGGATCAACAACAACAACAAAATTACATTTATAGAGCGCCTTTCACGTCGGGAGGATGTCCCAAAGCGCTGAACAGCCAGGTGTCGGGGCCCGAGCATGGGGGAGGGGTGGTGTAGAGGTGAGGGAAGGCAGAGAGGTGGGAGGGAGACCAAAGGCACGGTCGAAGA